GGAGTTACATGGTTTTCTTTGGGCAGCGACGAAGTACATAATTGCAGTATATTATTTATTATTTTTTGAAAGTCATCATTATTTACTTCTTTAAGAAGCTTTCACTGCGAAAAGGAAATAGACAAGAAGAATATTTGCACTAGAACACTGACATCTGAGATGTGCAGGCAGGTTTTATGGACTGATGAGTCTAAGTTTGTAGTTGGGATTATTTGGATCTTGAGATGCAACATGAAAAACCAACTTCTAAGACTGAACTTTGGAGGTGTGGCTGCAGATTTCTTTGAAAAACTGAAAGTGATTGACATGTTAAATACTTATATTTACTCGTTAATAGCTTTTGTGTAATATTCTGTTAAAATGATTACAACTTTCAGCTGAAAAATTGAATAACTTGCACTTAAAAGCCATTTTGACTGGAAATTAAACAAACAAAGGGTGGTCTCTGACATTTGCATAGTACTGTGTGATGTAATTGATATTGAGAATTATCATATTCAATAGCGATCAAATCTCAAATCAGATAAATAGCCAAAAAATGAATGTAAATAGATAATTGCAGTACATGTTTTATCATTTTAATCACTTTTTGTTTACTGACTTCTTGAAATATTGAATAAAACATCTTAAACTGAAATGCCAATTGATTCCAAATGATAATGTAATTCTGGACTTAAACGTTTTGGCTATAATGAGCTGAACTCTCAGTTACTACAGCACTAATATCACGTGTGTGTACCACTCTTCCACTTTAATGAGAGTGAGTGTGATTGGAAGTGAACGTGCGTTTGTTGACACAGGCTGTCTTTCAGTTTAAGATTGGAAGTCCGTTCTGCTGCTGCAGAATGTTTCTAAGAACTAGCGGTTCTCCTTCTGTTAAACTGCATTTTAATCACAGTTCTGAGTATTATAAGCAGGCAGTCTGCTAGGATTGGCATGTTAAACGTACAGAGTGCACAGAGGAAATCAGCTCACGCGGCTTTTGCTTCATCTTTACACAGATGGCTCGTCTCGCGAAGACGAGAATTTTAATGCAGCGGCTCCTCCAGTCATACAGCAGCAGCAGCAGCAGGACCACAATGACATTAAAGGGCTGAAATGAGAATGTGCTTAAGGCCTGACATAAAAGTTAGAGGGTCCGGCGTTGACAAGCGTCTTCTGCTAATTCAGAAAGCTCCACATTCTTGCTTTTTAAATGATGCCTTCTCACTCCGACACTACACAGCGCGGAAAAAAACAGTCTTTTCTGATGTTGTTTTTTTGCTCAGAATGGTGTAACTAATGAAAGTTACTTGTTTGGATCCCCCTTGTTTTGCAGTGTGACAGGGGGTACCGTGGGGAATAGCGCTGCTTTCGGCGGGGGGCCGCAGCTATGGGGATTAAAATAGCCCCAGCACATTCATACACAACTCAACCTGTCAATAACTTCACAGATGTGCTGAAGTCAGTCAGTGATGCGCTGCCGTAGCTGTCTTACTGTAGGCAGCGCGCTGGGAGTTCACAATATGATGTAATCCGTCGACTGCAGCCTCTCCGCCGCCAGATTTGAGGCGGTTTTATCCACTTTTGGAGGAGATGCATCATTTAGCAGCTCTCAGACTCCACGCCGGACCGCCTTTTTTTTCTCCAGCTAGACTCCTAATTAATGTAGCTCAGGTATAAAGTGTGACACGCTGCGGGAGACGAGGTTTTTTTACATCAGAAAGCAGAGGGAATTGCTGCAGCGGGGGCTGCAGTGCGGGCGTAATCCCCCAGACAGATAACCAATGGTGCATTAAGCTTATGGATAATCCTCCAAAAGGGGAGCACCTCTATCATTTCACGTATACCGAGAGTAGAGCATTCTCTGTATGGATCATAACATGGCAGTATGCATTTCATAATGTCATGGATTACACACTTGAGGGATTTGTGGACATTGCTAGATAGATCATGAAGTCCACTCTGTGTTTTTTTTATATATATATTTTTATCCGCAGATTAGGCTCAAGGAAGGTTATCAGAATGTTAATGTTGTCTATTGACACTGGTGGGAAAAGGAAGCTATCTATCTAAAGGAATTGGATTTTATTGCCGAATAAACCTGAAAAAGGAAACGAGAGATTAAAAAATGAGTTTATATTTCAAATACACTTTTCGTAGCATTAAAGGGCCCATTTCCTACATTTTTTACTGATTTGTGTGGTTTTATATGTCAGCCATGATTCATTTTCACGTTCTTCTCTCTCTTCATGACGAAATGGAAGGGACTTTCACCTATTTTTCAAAATATCCTCATAATTCAATAATTAGGATGTAAATAGTGTCATTCGGGGTGGTTTGGTGTGAAATGGTTCATTGAAGAGAAATAAGAATTTCTTTACAGTAGTGGTGATAGGAACCTGGGGTCCCAGAAATCCCAGTGAACGTACATGTAGTTTTATATGTAATGCTGATGATGGTAAAATAGACATATTACATACTAAGCCTTATTATTCATTATCTACAGAGACTTCAGCGC